AGCCTGCTGCCTCCACTTGCAGGTTTGCTGTGTTTCAGGTTCTTGGCAGCTCCCCCCCCCCCCCCCCCCCCCCCACCCACACACACACACACACAAATGGACATTTTGTCATATCAGAGACCTGAAGTTAATGGAGGATTTAAATTAAGGTGAAGGCTTAAATCCTAACCAAAAAATAAATAATTCTTGTTTAAATATCTTGAAATTGGGCAAATTAATAAGGCTAAAACATTCATCTTTGAAATCCGCACATTATCTTTACTCAGCGTTTTCTCTTACAGCCACATGTGTTGCATAATTGAATGAAGCAGTAAGCCTGGTGTGTGTGTGTGTGTGTGTGTGTGTGTATGTGTGTGTGTGTGTGTGTGTGTGTGTGTGTGTGTGTGTGTGTGTGTGTGTGTGTGTGTTTGTAGGTGTGTGTGTGTGCTCTTTGTTTTGATGTTGAGCTAGTAATAAGAGCAACGCCATCAGAAGCAAAGCAAACTCTGACATTCATCCCTACAAATACATGAAATGAACAGCTGATGTCTGATCGTAAGACGACAGATTCACAGAGTGTGTGTCTAAACAGATGCCATCTGGCATGTGACAAGAAAAGGGAGATGATGTGTAAATGATGCCAAATGTTTACAGCATGTTCCTGCAGGTATTCCAGTCTAACTAAATATCACTGTTGGAACACAGTATTTTTCACAGCCTCCACATTTCATCCCCTACTTTGATATTAAATGACTGCACTGGTATCCTAAAAGGTTTCTTTGTTGAAAAACAATCAAATGAAAGTGTCTCCTGGTGTGTGATTTGGTGTATTTTTATAACAATACACTGAGAAAAAGATTTAATGTATTTGTTAATAGCTGCAGCAGCTGAAGTACGTGGACTCTGAGGTGAATCTCATCTCTTACTGACCGGTTTGATTGTTCATATTGTGAGGAAGGAGTGTTCCAATTCTTTCTGCATGTAAAGCGCAGGTGAAGGGGTAGGGCTTTCCAGACACTAATGGACCATTCGAGTGTGATTTTTGAAAGGACTACAGCAACATGGAGAGGTTGAGGCCAACCAGCCACCTATTCCTCTGAGACACTAAGTGAGGTAAGGACAGAGCTGGCTCATTATAATGTGAGTAAACTAGCCTGACGGATCAATAGTGTGTTGCAATGATAGACAACAGTGATGCAACCTGCTAGTCATGGGATTAAATCTCTAAATCTCACACACATATTTTATGTGCAGCACTCAGTGTCAGTGCCAATGTGTTACCCTCCATGGCGTCTTGAGTTCTGCAATCCCAACTTCATTCACATAAGCTGGCATGGTTGTGAGAGATGGAGAGTTTGATTGGTGATTTTTGAAAATCCACACAACTGAAAAAGATACTTTTCTTTCTGGACACATCTCAACTGTTTTGTGAAAGAGGGAATAACTTTTTCTATTTTACTGGAACAAAAGCTACTGTTGTGTTGTTTGTGTGAACACGGCTGATTTGTTTGAGTTAGTGCTGAACTGCTCCTGTAGAAACTAATGAGGGCTGAGGAGACATTTTAGCTTTTAGATTAAGCAAAGAGATTCGTTCCACTTTTGGTTTTACTAAACGGACACCAGGGAGGCTAAAAGCAAGCCAAAGCTGCCTAATACTGTATCTCTGTAGTCCAACAAAAAACTGGGACAAAAGCTGCAGCTGCAACGTTCACCAACATCCCAATGTGTTTCTCTGAACCAAAACGCTCTAAAAATGTTCTGATATTTTCTAAACAATTCTGCTGGGTTATTATATTTCTCTGAGCAGAGGGACTGCTTAAACCTCAGGGTAGGAAATGGTTTGCATTTTGCAGAAACATTGATGTTTCTTTTTAAATTACTTCTACAAACTTGTCACAATAAAAATAAGTAAAATATGTATGGTGTGTAAATATCAGAGGTCACTACAAAACCCACTCTTACATAGATACAAATGTGAAGCACATGAGGAACCATGTCCTGCATGGTTCAAAAACGTCCAGAGTGATAAACCCCCACGTCATCCATCTATCTATCTATCTATCTATCTATCTATCTATCTATATATCTATCTATCTATCTATCTATCTATCTATCTATCTATCTATCTATCTATCTATCTATCTATCTATCTATCTATCTATCTATCTATCTATCTATCTATCTATCTATCTATCTATCTATCTATCTATCTATCTATCTATCTATCTATCATCTATCTATCTATCTATCTATCTATCTATCTATCATCTATCTATCTATCTATCTATCTATCTATCTATCTATCTATCTATCATCTATCTATCTATCTATCTATCTATCTATCTATCTATCTATCTATCTATCTATCTATCTATCTATCTATCTATCTATCTATCATCTATCTATCTATCTATCTATCTATCTATCTATCTATCTATCTATCTATCTATCTATCTATCTATCTATCTATCTATCTATCTATCTATCTATCTATCATCTATCTATCTATCTATCTATCTATCTATCTATCTATCTATCTATCTATCATCTATCTATCTATCTATCTATCTATCATCTATCTATCTATCTATCTATCTATCTATCTATCTATCTATCTATCTATCTATCTATCTATCTATCTATCTATCCATCATCTATCTATCATCTATCTGTCTGTCTGTCTGTCTGTCTAGATGTATTTTTTCCCTTTTTTAAATTGAAACACGATTGAAAAGCATTTTTCAGAAATACAATTAAGAGCTTGAGTTTGCAATGATATTGTTTGTGTCTATTGTTTGATTCTGTGCCTTGCTATTTACTTTTTATTGCTTTTAGGACAAATTTCTTGAATAATCAAAATGTGATTAATCAAGATTAATTTATTACAAAGCCTTTGATTAATTAGATCACTTGTTAATTGAGTCCCACCCTTTCCAATTTTACATTGCTTTGTGTTTGTGTTTTAGCAAAGTAGCTCATCAGACACTAAATGTATACAGTAAGAGCAAGTCATATCAAAATCAAGTTTTTAGCTGATAACTAGTACAAATGAGTGTCTAATAGTGTTGTAAACATGTGTAGTTATTATTTTTGCATTTTGATGCATTTTCTTTGAAAACTCTAAATTCTGTCTAAAAACGTCAGTTTAGCGCTATCTTCAGCTCAAAAGTATAGAACACGTTCATTTTGAGTCGGTTTTAGCCAAAAGGCTAACGAGAACGATGCTACTTATCCAAGAACAGTACTACGTAGCAGCTCTGTGGCATAGGTCATAAAAGCACCGCGGTCTCAGCCTTGTAGCAGTCGAGGCTCGGATTAGCCGCAAGTGTGTTGTGCTGTAGTTAGCATTAGCATTGTGTCAGAATCCCAGCAAAGCTTCTAGTATTAAAATTATTTAATTCCAGTAGCTTAGCTGTTAATATTGTAGTTTAGTGTTTTTTTTTCCTGCGTCAGTCACTGCTTCCGCTCCAGTCGGGTCCCCCCCCCCCCCTCTCTCTCTCTCTCTCTCTCTCTCTCTCTCTCTCTCTCTCTCTCTCTCTCTCTCTCTCTCTCTCTCTCTCTCTCTCTCATATCTTCCTCAGGATCCACTCCCTCTTTCCTATTCACTCTCTCTCTTTCTTTACATTTTTTAATCACAATTGTCTATTTTTTGCTCATTAGAAATATATTTTAATCACTTTCTAAATTCTTTTTTTCTATTTTACATGTTTTGTTTTTGTGAAGCGCCTCGTGATTTTTATCTTGAAAGGCTCTATAGAAAATATCTTTTCTTCTCTCTCTCTCTTAATTCATGCACTTAAATATTGCTATTCTGATTTTATTGAAAAACTTGTTCTGTAATAGTTCCTTTACTATTGTGATCAAAAACATTTAATCTCAATTCTGAGGCTGCTCTGTAAAAAGTTTTCAAATAAACAATACACATAGCAACTTCTGATCAGACTTAAAATAACGTATTGATGTAAACCACACCCACGTTCGGTTAAACTACACCCACTTCTGGGTTAGGCCACGCCCACTCCGAGTACAGATACAGATAATTTAGATGGTTGAACAGATACAGATGCAGATAGTGGTGTACTCGCTCATCCCTAGTCGTGACCTGGAAGCATTCCAAGACTAGTTTGGTCGGCACCGCTGCTTTTCTACCGGCTTCGGTTCCAAGGAGGGTCCAAGAGGACCTCGACATTATGGATCTAATGGAGGCTTCCATTCCCACTCAGAACTAAATGCTTCTCCGGATCCGCTGGTTCTGATAATAACATTCCACACACACACACACACCATCATCTCACATGTCACTCTACCTTAGTCCATCAGTACAGAGAGTGTTTGTTAGTCTTGTTTAAAATGTGTAGAAATAAATTTCTTAACTATTATAAACCTGACTCTTTCTCTTTCCTCTGAGTTAATACGAAGTGTCACGTAATCCCTGCAATAAAAAGTTCTGATCTTCTGGTTAAAATATTCAAAGATCCATCAGATTGATATTCCATATTTGTATGGAATCTCACATTTTATGGTTCATAAGTAAGATGTAAACTACCCATCCTTTACAAAGTAATCATTGGATCTTTATTTGGGCCTGATTAACTGTGGAGCTCAACCTGGTTTGGATGGTCATCATAGCAAATTAGCCAAACTTAACAAAAAATAGCTATGGCTATATGCAGATATGGAGCTACATGTGAGACTCACTAAACAACACACACTCTAAGAGCAGACTGATCACACAAGATCTTACAATGTTTGTGAAATTGCTTCACTTTGTTTTTAAGATTTGACCAAAATGGACAAACTCTATCATACTACAACATACATCTTACAATATACTTCATAGTGGGGTATCCTTGCTGCTATGAAAACTCTTTTTCTATCTATCCTTGTGACTTCAAATTGCAGACCTAGAGTGAAGTAGGCAGTATATAAAAGGGTAGGAGTGAGACACAAGATGTAGGTCAAATATGAAACAATGCTTCTTGATTCCAGCCTGTCAGAAGGTCAGAGGAGGAGAAACCCACCTGTGCAGGAATAGTCATCGATCCTGATGTAGCCTGTGTGGCAGATGCACATGAAGGAACCAGGGGTGTTGACACACATGGTGTTCTCTCTGCAGTAGTGCTTCCCTTCAGCACACTCATCAATATCTGAATAAACGGGACAGAGGAGAGAAAAGGAGTTGAGCAACGTTACTTGAACTGCTCGATTCAATTTTGAGCAAATTGCATAATATGTGTAACTGTTTCTGCAACACAAAGGGCACCTAGTGGCTTCTGTACAACCAATGAAAAAGAGCTATTTATCTTGAGTGGGAAGCTGACGTTGACATGTAGATGGTCTTTGAGAGGTGCTTATGAAGCTCTTAAGGTTACAACACTCCATTTTCACCCTGTTTAAAGTGAAGCCTTCCAGGTATAGCAGAGTTCATCTCAACACATTTCATATTCAACAGGCTGTAAATAAATCCCATAGAGTAAAAATAATTGCTCACTTCTAATCTCTGCTGTATGAGTGTAATCCCCCTCATATAGGCCTACTTTAGCTCCTCTTCTCACTGAAGAGCTTTGCACAATAAAGGACAAAACATGACACATAAACTTTGTCTTCTACTTATATATTTATACATATATATATATATATATATATATATATATATATATATATATATATATATATATATATATATCAAAGGTCACAATAAGGGTAGATATTTTCCACATTTGACTGGTGTCGGAAGAATCTCAAGGCTTTCATTTAGACAGACTGCACTTCACAGCCCCATCGCAGGCTAATTCGCAGACATTTTACAGAGTTCACAACAGAGGTAACCAAATCCATCAAGAAAAGATTTCCTTTAGAACATCATGACGCGACTCCGGATAAGCCGCTGAAAATGGATGGATGGATGGATGGATGGATGGATGGCGCCTCTAAAGATAATAATCATGAGGCCATTTACAACAGCAAGAAAATTGAAAAAGATTTTGAAAAATAAATCATTAAAGATGAATAAATGTAACTACAACTTGTTGTTTACAGACAGAAATAATTATTCCTATTTTTGTGAATCTGACACTAAGAAGCATCAGATAGCCGCGAGAATTAAAATGGTAAATGGCTTGTATTGATGCAGCACCTTCAAAGGTCCTACACTCTCTCTCTCTCTCTCTCTCTCTCTCTCTCTCTCTCTCTCTCTCTCTCTCTCTCTCTCTCTCTCTCTCTCTCTCTCTCTCTCTCTCTCTCTCTCTCTCTCTCTCTCTCTCTCTCTCTCTCTCTCTCTCTCTCTCTCTCTCTCTCTCTCTCTCTCTCTCTCTCTCACGTTTATTGAATGCAATTGAGACACAACCCATAAAGGGCACAATAGGTTTTTAGTGAATCTGCCTGTCAGAGTATTTCTGTTTATTAAGCAACTGAGTTATTTTTGTGCACCAGCTCCCATCTTTCATTAGTCATCCTCAACAGTCATTACTTAATCTAGCTGCCACTGTTTTATACTCTCTCTGTTTTATAAACCAATGCTCTGTCTGAGCTGTGTTTATGTAAGTTTGCATTCTTTGTCGTAGTAATTAAAACTTGATCAGGCCAGACTTAAGAACATTTACTAATAGATTGTGCTTAGATTGTTTTGTCTTCTAACTCATAATTCCATATTTGGATCCATATTAGATGTTGCCGTAGCAACCGCTATTCCTGGCTTCCAAACTGCTTGCCAAATCCTCAGACAGAAGATGCATCACCCTGCCAGGGTAAACACAATAATCTTGATAATGTGATGCAACTAAAAGCAATGCAAATGCAGGTCAAACTGAATAAACCCAGATGTATAAAATAAGCTCTGAGGTTTCACTCATAGAGAGCATAGGTCAGGTTTAGGCACTTTAGGTTTTTGAATCCTTGACTTTACCAATTTGTTACTCATTCACAGCATTCAGCGTGTCTGAGAGCACAGGAGGACATTCACCCCTGACTATGCTCTGTGCCAGATGCTTTTGTGAAGAGCACTTGAAATTGAATTTCAATAGATTTGCATTGGCATTCACTCTGCTTCCATGTCCTTGGATTGAGAACCACCCATCGCCCCGCAAGCTAAGAGCCCAACACCTGCCAACAACTGTGGCATTCATATTTTCTTTCACGGGCTCATCAATAATCGCTGTCTCCAGCTATTCAGGAGTCTCACAGATAAATGATGCAGTAAGACACTAACCAGACACCTACTGAAGTATGTGTGTCCTTCACTAAATGAATAAGGCTTAATTAAAACCGTCACTAGCTTTGAAAGTGAGAACAAAATGCAGGATGTGAAAAAGAGGAGGAATAAAAGGGGAGTGAAGTCAACAAAAAACAGCAGGGCAGGTGAGTTTAAACATCTGTCAAAATAAGCTATACAGAAATACTGTCTGGGGATTAAACAGAAAGTGTGATGAGCAAAGGGAGTTCAAACTTGTGGATTTAATGTAGGAACAAATGAAAAAGTCAGTGCAAAGCTGTGAATGGTGTGTGTGTGTGTGTGTGTGTGTGTGTGTGTGTGTGTGTGTGTGTGTGTGTGTGTGTGTGTGTGTGTGTGTGTGTGTGTGTGTGTGTGTGTGTGTGTGTGTGTGTGTGTGTGTGTGTGTGTGTGTGTGTGTGTGTGTTGGAAGAGAAATAAGGAGATGGAAGCAGCAACAGATATTAACTGTCACTGTGTGGGCCAGAAAACAGGAGAGCACGTTCGGTCTGTCCACAGTAACCTTCAGCACAAATCTTGAACAACTGCTTTCCTGCTTTCTGATTGGCCGTCCATAGTAGGACTTAGATTAAGAGCCTATTAGGTATCCTCATCCATCCTGACCCTGCTGACAGCCGTTTGTTAAAACAATATATTAGGAGGTGAGATGATGAGGGGTGCAGCAGGAGGTACGTGGGGATAGCAACCATCTCCATCTCTATTAACACACTCCATTTTCTTGATTGGCCTGTCACATGGACACACGTGATGTGCCAAGCTAAAAGGTTGGCGGAGAGTCAGTGGCGGCTTTTATCTGTGAGCACAGCACCAGGGGTCAATCTGTTGCCACACAGTGATAGATGACTAGATAAAAGATGTGTTTTTTTCGTTTTTCACCTTTCTACATTCCAGAATCAATCATAGTCATATCTGAGGTGGAAGAAATGCTTTGAATCATTCTTTGCTTCACATTTATTCATGAAAGAAGCCATCAGACAACAATTATACAGTGACGTGAAGTCATTTCTTTATTCTAGGAAGGAATTTTCACATTAAAACTATGTGGCATTGATGCATTTACACTCACATGTTCAGCTGATGGTCACATTTATGTAACTCAGCTCCTATTTGACACCACTTGCTGTATTAATGAAAAGTGTCTTTCTCTAGATCAACTTCAACAACTGTGAAAAGATCGCTGAGATTTTCTTAGGAAATTGTGAAGGCAGCCAGTGACCACACTGATGTGTAAACTGTATCAAACATGAAGCACAAACTGATAATAAAACAGAAATGTTAAAGCTGCAGCCAGGGACTTGTTGGGTTACTATGGTAACCACAGACTTGTGAAAAACAGGGAAACAAATACAATACAAATATGGTTTGCAGTCATTATAAGTTACATCTGAAAAAACATCTAAGCAAAAGTTAGATGTGTCAAAATAGGCAGAGCACTTTATGTAGTTTTTATTTTTTTATTTATTTAAAAGTTCAAAGAATCACAGCAGTATTCCTGATTAAGCTGCACATGTGGTTTTATTTTGTGGGTTTTCCTAAAGCTGAGGTAGTAGAAGCATTCAAAAATTAGGATAATATGATATTATATCATGATATATTCAGGGTGTTTTATTTATGTATTTATTTATTTATTTCATATTTTGGATGTTCTACAAAAATCCATAGACACCCAAATCAGTGCCATTTTCACCACCAGAAGAATCATTTCCATGATCATCTAGATTGTTTATTTTATATTTTTATCTATTTATTGTGTGAATGCCTTCTCAAACCAGCTGAATAACTCAAACAGATTGTTTTCACCAAATGCCAGAAGGACATGCCAAAGCATTCGGGTAATTCTCAGTGCCCAGCTCTCTCAAACCCAAATTTATAGCAGTCACAGAAAAAAAGAAAAGAAGAAAAAGAGGCAAAAAGCTGCCCAGGCTATCCCAGAAAATTATCCCCAAGGCTGGTCTTCTGTTTGGGGGGCAGAAATCAGTGTCAGAGGACGTTATGATGAGCTTGTTCTTGTTCAGGAGGTGAGTAATTAGATCATGTTTTACATTGAGGCAGATGGTTTGGATATGCACGTATATGAAGATGTCACTGGCAGCAGATAGAGCAGAGTTAGCTTTTTTCCTTCAGTTTTCTCCAAATTAACCAACTTCTATAGTGCTGGCTTCATTCTACCAGCCACACAAAAGCTTGGTATGAATCTCATCTTCTTACTCTCAGCAGAAAATAAAACATTTTCCCAACCACTCCTTTGAAATTCACATTATTTATTTATTTATTTATTTATATTTTTTTATTAACAGGCATTTGCAATCAAGCATGCCCCAAAGCATTTTTGCCTCAAACACATTTAAAGTGAATTATTTGCCAATTATGAGTCTGATTCCAACACTTGAATTAGATGATCTTATTTTAATCTTAAAGAAAATTGGATTTGAGATTTTGGAAGTGGTGCTAGCTTCGTCTTGACCATTCTTCTTTGTGGTGAACGTGGTCCTTTGAGACCCAGCCAAAAGTTGGTGCTATATTATTGCACGGCTGATGTAAAACTGTAGACAGTGGGTTAATGCACCCGAAGCATTGAAAAATGACACAGCGCGTCACCTCCTGATGCATTGGGAGCCCTCATTTTTCTACGCTTCGGGTGTGAGAATGTGTTCGTTAATAATAAAGACCGTAGGAGCTGAGTGTTGCCATATTTATCCGACAATGATCAATAGTAATGCTGTGATTGGAACTTTGATCCAATACTTGTGTATTGCTGCGTAATCCCGTGATTAATTTAAAAATCCTTCATATTTACCCCAAATGAGAAAGCTATAATGTTAACATCAGCAGATAGAGGGCGCTGCAGGGTGTTTCTTGTGCTAGATTCTAGAATCTCAGTTAGGTCAGTGGAAACTGAGCAATTGATCAGGAGTTGTT